CTCCTCTCCGTCTTTCCACACTGCCTGGGCGGCACGGAGTTCTTAAAGGAAAGCCGGAGGCTCCAAGGCAGACGGTTTAGGGGAGAGAATGCAGGTGGACGCTGCATCTCCTTTGTAAGTCAGCCTTGGAAGCCGTGGGGTCTCCCTGCTGCCCATTCACCCCCCAGGGCTGTCCCAAAGGCCCATCCAGGGTTAGGGTAGGACAAAGTGATCCTCCCTCTTGGTAGGCCTGGAAATACAGTTGTAGCCACTGTTTATAAACTCAGTCCGCAGTCTGGACAAAACCATTCACACGGCTCCCACACGAGTACACTTACCTCTCCCTCAGCTCCCCAGAGCCTCCGTCCATCCTCACATCTCATCAACGAAGTCAGATTGGGAGCAGAGCCCCCGAAGCCAGCCACCTCCATCGGCAGATCTGTGGCCTGAGAGACCGCATCCTGTTTGCCCACACAGCCTGGACATTCGCTGTAACAGCCTCTTCTTAAACGGGGAGTCAGGTATGGCACAGTGGCCCCGGAGTGCTGAGCAACTCGGGGACCCCTGCTGCCAGGGCCTTGGAAGGACTTAATCTTAGCACCTGGCCGTGGTTCTCCATGGTTCTCAGCCCTGTGCTGTAGTCAGGCATCCCCTTAGAGTTATAATGTGTAATCTGGGAGGGGCTTGTCTTCTCAACCTGCTACCTGCTCGTAAAATTCCAAGGGACCGCAGAGTCTTCGTTTTGTGAGGATTCTGCCCCACCCAGGGGTAGCTGGGCAATTTCTTTGAAAGCTTCATGTGTTTTTTGTCAACCAGTTTCTAATCCACTCCTTCAGGCCAAAGCATCCACACACCCGTCTGGGATCAGCTTTGCCTCGTTTGGGCTCCCTGCAGCACTTCCGTGGGGCGATGCCCTGAGGTTCCTGGTAGTTTTGCTGTTGGAAAAGTCTGTGAGGCAAACTTTCAGCTTTTCTTGTGCCTCACAAGTCTGATAGGCCTGTCCCTGGCTGCGTCTTTAGAGCCTGTGTTCCTGAAAACTTGTAAATTCCACCTCTGCCTAGAAGTCACTTCTTGGGCTGGCGCCATGACTCACTTGGTTAATCCTCCGCCTGCGGTGCTGGCATCCCATATGGGTGCTGGGTTCTAGTCTCGGCTGCTCCTCTTCCAGGCCAGCTCTCTGCTGTGGCCCAGGAGGGCAGTGGAGGACGACCCAAGTGCTTGGGCCCTGCACCTGCATGGGAGACCAGGAAGAAGCACCTGGCTCTTGGCGTTGGATCGGAGCAGCACTGGCTGTAGCAGCCATTAGGGGAGTGAACCAGCGGAAGGAAGACTTTGTGTCTCTCTCACTGTCTGTAACTCTGTCAAAAAAAAAAAAAAAAAGAAGTCTCTTCTTGAGAACTGTTTGCCACCTAGAGATCTTGGCACTGAAACATTCTGTCAGACCTGAGAAGTTTTGGTCCATTCTAGTGCATTACTCTTTCTTTGCTCCAACTCTCTCTCCTTTAAGATTTATTTGAAAGGCAGAGTTACAGACAGAAGGAGAAACTGAGATCTTCCATCCACTGGTTCACTCTCCAAACGTCTGCAATGGCCAGAGCTGGGCTGGTCTGAAAACAGCAGCCAGGAGCTTCTTCCAGGTCTCCCACATGGATGCAGGGCCCCAAGCACTTGGGCCGTCCTCTGCTGCTTTCTCAGGCACATTAGCAGGGAGCTAGATCAGAAGTAGAGCAGCTGGGACTGGAACCGGAACCCAAAAGGGATGCTGGCATCACAGGCAGTGGCTTTACCCACCAGCTGCAGCGCCGGCCCTGCCCCAATCTTCAGTCCCCAGTCTTCCCAGGCTGACTCTGGGCAGGTGGGAGAACCCAGCATGCCGCATTCACACTCTGCCTGCAAATCTCCCAGCCAGCACCCCCTGCTCATTCTGTGAGTCTCCTGGTTCCCACAGCACTGCTGAACTTTCCACCATGACTTCGACAACGTGGTGTTTCCTCCGGCTTCCAGCATCTTCCTCCCCTTCCTCCAAGCCTCACCCAGAGCTTTACTGGGGGCCCCTCCCACTTCCAGCGCCACGTTCTTGTATAGCAGCAGCCATCTTCCGGTTACCAAGCCCTGCAGTAGTTGTCACGTTGTCACCTAACAACCCCCTCCAGAGTGCAATGTCTTGGGTACCAAGGGTGGCATACACATCATCTCTCACTGGCCGGGCTGCACGATGTGGTTCTCAGACAGGCTCTCCCAGCTGTGGTCAGACAGAGGCAGAGACCGGATCCTGGGTGGACATCGATGCTTCCATTTCTGGTGTCTGGGTTGGGAAAGCCCACACTGAGAGTGGAGCAGATGGCCGCTCCCTCCCTCCCTGCATAGCGTCTGCACAGGGCGTACGGACTGCTTGCAGGGAGTCCAAGCCTCCCAGGCAATGTCCCAGGAGGGCAGGAGCCAGGCAGAAGCTGTATTGTCTTTGGCAGGAAATAGCATCTTCTCGATGTTTTATTCATTGGGCAGCCACAGAGACTCTCCCAGGTTCAAGGATCTGGAAGACCACGCGGGACTGAAAATATTACTGAAGGCAGTTTTGGAAAATGCCATCTACCACAAATCCTTTGAATAATTCATATATTCAGAAGAACGCTCTAATGTTAAAAAACGGGCTAGTTCACTCACTTTCTAGAAGCTTGTGAGCTGTTGTGGTTTAGCCCATGGACAGTCCTTGGAATGATGAGTATTAATTAAACAATGTGCACTTGGGCATTCCTTCTTAAAAGTTGTCCGTTTGGGGTGCCTTGAATAATAGTGGCATACAGAGATGTCCCATAAGTTAGGGCGAGAACTTCATATCCAGCTTCTATTCTGTTCCTTTGCGATGGTTCTCAACATCACTCTTTTGTGCGTGACTACACAGAGTTTACAGAGGTCTGTGCAAGACCTTTGTTAGAACTGCGACCCTGCACCGCTCCCACGCCCAACACCACGCTGTGACTTTCTCCCAGGACGGCGTCTTCGTAGCCTCTGTCACTTTCTTGCGTGCTGTAGAGCTGTCTCGTTTGTTCTAAGTCCTGTCTGTTGTTCTCATCACTGTTGCACTGGAGTAGAGGAAGGCAGGGAAGTTTCTCTATTTACTAGCGGGAAAAGCAGGTAAGTGAATGAGTGAGTCACAGTTCAGATGTGAACCCCGGTCTGCCTACCTCACTGGCCTCTTATGTTAATAATTCTATTTCCCCAAACTGGGACCAGAGGGCTCTGTTCTAAGGTACAGCCGTTGACAGATATGGCTAAGTTAAATAACTCAGCAAGGTGACCACATCAGATGCGCTAATGTCAAGAATTCCTACAGATTCACAAAATACCAAATTATTAAAACAATCCAAGATATCTATTGATATTTCAGTAAAATTTATGTATTTTTCTAAGATTAACATCTGTGCTTCCAGAGAAATAACCTCTGATAAAGATGCAACGCTCATACAGAAGATGTGGCCTCTTTCAAAATTAACTCTTACCAATAATTTGCTATTTTTCAGAGTATTGCACCTTTTGCCAAGTTACAAAGTCTGCATGTAATAAGTCTTTAGAGACATTTCATGCTCTTGATTTTCTTGTTAAATACATGTTTGTGTCAAGGATTCAAATGTGTTGATTGACTGTAAAACCTATCCTTGGCGTCATTTCAGGAGAGCCCCTTTCTATAGTGTCCTCGTCGGTACAGATGTGCTGTGCTGAGTTCTGTCCGTGTCCTCGTCGGTACAGATGTGCTGTGTTGGTTGAGTTCTGTCCATGTCCTCGTCGGTACAGATGTGCTGTGCTGAGTTCTGTCCATGTCCTCATCGGTACAGATGTGCTGTGGTGGTGGAGTTCTGTCCGTGTCATCGGTACAGATGTGCTGTGGTGGTGGAGCTCTGTCTGTGTCATCGGTACAGATGTGCTGTGCTGGTTGAGTTCTGTCCATGTCCTCATCAGTACAGACGTGTTGTGTTGGTTGAGTTCTGTCTGTGTCCTCGTCAGTACAGACGTGTTGTGTTGGTTGAGTTCTGTCTGTGTCCTCATCGGTACAGATGTGCTGTGCTGAGTTCTGTCTCTGTCCTCGTCGGTACAGATGTGTTGTGCTGGTTGAGTTCTGTCGGTGCCACATCACTGGCTTAGTTGAATCAGCTTATTTCCTGCAGGAAGCTTCCTGGGCCTGGAGAAGCTCACTTAGCTGCCCCTCTGGCTTTCTCCCACCTTATCTCCAAAAATCACTGAAACCCCTTCCAGCACCCCTACCTCACGTAGGCCCTAAGAACAGGGTGCAAGCGTGTTCTTCTCTCCACTCCAAGTTTCTTATGAGGGTATTTTAAAAGTTCCTGAAAAAAAAATGAAATTAAAAAATAAGTTTTTTTTCTGGTCAAACATCTTTGAAATCCATGCATAGCTTTTTCATGATATGCATTTCCCCGGGACACTGCAGACGGTCTCCCATGCACGCACTGCAAGACTTGGCGCCACAATCCATTTTAATTCTGTCTTCCGTGAGTTTTCGAAGTTCACTTTTCAGGCTGTTCATATTCCTTGGATCCCTCCCTTCTCATCTGACTTCTGCCTCCAGTGGTAGGAGTTGCCGCCTAGCTCCCAGTTCAAACATCCTATCCTAGCTAGAGTCTTGGAAGTCTAAGGTTTGTCCAGAACTGTAGGGGTCTGGGGGCCACAGCCTGGGCCCCGACGCCCCGCGGTCATTCTCCCCGAGGTGGGCCCGGGTCCCCCCGCCCCGCAGTCACTCTCCCCGAGGTGGGCCCAGGTCTCTGCAGGCCCCGGGGTCCCTCTCTCCAAGGTGGGACCAGGTCCCGGCGCCCCGCAGTTGCTCCCTCTGAGGTGGGCCGGGGTCCCCGCAGGCCCCCCGGGTCGCTCTCTCCGAGGTGGGCCCAGGTCTCTGCAGGCCCCGGGGTTGCTCTCCCCGAGGTGGGCCCGGGGTCCCCGCGACCCTGCGCCCCTGCGCCCCGCAAGGCCTGGGCGGCCCCGGCTGACCTGCGCGCTCTGTCCTGCCGCAGCTTTGTCCCGGCCACGCCCGCACAGCGACGACTACAGCACCATGAAGAAGATCCCTCCTCGGAAGCCCAAGAGGAGCCCGCACACGAAGCTCAGCGGCTCCTACGAGGAGATCTGGGGCCCCAAGCCCGGGGACGCGCGGCCCCCAGCGCCGGCGGCGGCGGACGTGGACGCAGACGCGGACGCGGAGCCCGTGTACATCGAGATGGTGGGCGCGGCGGCGCGGGCCGGCCCGGGGCCCAGCAGCCCCGAGCAGACCGAGGCTGTGTACGAGGAGATGACCTTCGCGCCCGCGCCCGCGGGGCCCGACATCCCGCCGCCCTTCCCCAACCTGCTCCCGCACCGGCCGCCGCTGCTGGTCTTCCCGCCCGCGCCCGCCACCTGCTCGCCCGCCTCGGACGAGTCGCCGCTGACGCCGCTCGAGGTCAAGAAGCTGCCGGTGCTGGAAACCAACCTCAAGTACCCCGTGCAGCCCGAGGGCTCCAGCCCGCTGTCCCCGCAGAATTCCAGACACCCGAAGGCGGACGCCGACGGGCCCGCATCGCCCGGCCTGGCTGCGCTGGACGGGGCGGGCCGCGGCTCCCCGCCGCCGCCGCCGCCACCGCCGCCGCCGCCGCCCGCTGCCCCTCGGCCGGCCACGCACTTCGCGTTCCCGCCGGACGCCGCCTCGGCCCACCACGCGGGCAGGGCGGCGGCCCCCGCGGAGCCGTGCAGAGGGCCTCCGAAGCCGAACTCTGCCCCGGCCGGGGGCCCGTGCAGCAGCTTCGCCAAGGCCCCTTGCTCGCCCGGGCGGGCAGCGCGAGGCGACCCCCGGAGGGGCAGCTCCAGCGCCTCGTCCCCCGGCCCCTACAGCCCCCTGGACGAGCTGGCCAGCCTCTTCAGTTCCGGACGGAGCGTGTTGCGCAGGTCCGCCGCGGGCCGCAAGATCAGGCAGCAGGAAGGTGAGTGCGCGCCCGCCTGCGAGTGCGGGGCGGTGCGCGTGTGCACGCGTGCGGCGTGGAAATGCGGGCGGGGGCGGGGGTTCCGGGCAGAAGCCAACTTGAGAGGGTCCCAGGCGGGTAGGACTCCGCCTTGCAAGGTGCACCGTGAGACTAGGAGGCTCGAGGTGCGGAAACAGGGACTCTTTCCTGCATTCGATACATTGTAACGGCGTTTATTGGAGCAGGATTCTAACTTGGGGTCCACCGAGGCTCCCTCGTCGCACGGAGAGTACTTCTCGTAACGTTACAGTGCTGGCTTCCGTTTGATTCCCAGTCGCTGCACCTGCGTGGTCTCCTCGGCACGCTTTAACTTGGTTCTGTTATCCGTTACATCTGCGTTTTCTCGCTGAGCCGATGGCACCGCGCGCACTGGAAGGTCCACTCACATGGGCTCAGCGCGAAGCCTTGCAGCCGGGCGCTGTTGCCAGCCTTTGAAAGCACGCATTTTGTGTCCCCTAGCAAAAGTGCTCTCGGTTAGCCTGTTTTTTTGTTTTTTGTTTTTTGTTTTTTTTTTTTTTTTTGCTGCTCTCCTCCAAGCAGCTCATCCTGTGCCACTTCGTTCAGATCCGGTTGCCTTGGTGCAGAGTACGCTATTGGTACAGGTGCCCGCTGTTAATAATCCCAGAGCATTGAGTCATTTCCCCAACAAAAGTGACAAAGGCTTTATTAAAATAATTCCTGGTGTTCTGTCTTTGGGAGAAGGGCGGTCGGGTGAAGTGTGCTGTCCTTAAGGACATGCGGGAGTGGTGAATGCTGTCTGCTTCCCCCCATGTACAGATGGAAAAATTCAGGGTGGAAAGGTTATGTGTGGTCCCTGGGGTCTAGTGGTGGGATTGGATAGAAGATTTGATTCATGGTGTCACATGTTATGCATATATCAACATACTCCTTTTCCAAAAGAAAATTCATGAATATTTATTAATTTTCTCCATTTGATTAGGAAATGGCTTTCAGTATGAACACTAGAAGACCTAGGAAGCACTGTGAAGAAGTAAAGTAGGTCAAGGCCAACAACCCTCAGCAAATGAGTGAATAACCCACTCTATTCTTCAGACAAAAAAAGTTAATTGTTTGGCCAACAAGTCCTTCTTCATTATAGGCCATTAATGAGTGAAATTATAAGTAGCAGAATATTTGAATCTCACAGGTCATGTTTCATTCCAAGGTACACAAGGAATGTAAGAGAAAATCATTGAAAGAACAAATTGGTATTTGCCTTAAAACCCCATGAACCTCATTTTTGCTACAGATCAGACGTGGGTGGACTCCTCTCGACTCTATTCAAGGAAGTGAGGTTAGTGAATTCTAGACAGATCGAATCCTTTGGAAATCCGGGAGTCTAGGGCTCAGAGGAGAGAGAGAGAGTGAGGTTTCCAGGCACCGTGTGTGGATTTGTAATCATCTCCCCCTGTGCTGACATCAGCTGGTATTGGAGCCTTCCTGTTCAGAACCCCAAAGTACAACATTGTTACCAACTCTCAAATTATGAGACATCGAGTTTCCTATCGTGGGCTTTTACAAAATACTTTCCCAATTTGCAAAGATTGGTTTGAGCTGCTTACGACTTTCTCATAAATACGTGAATTGGCAACTTCTGCCATTATCACAGTAGCTAAAATAACAGAAAATTTAGTAAAATGGGGCTGAATCACTCCCACACAACAGATTCTAGGAGTTCCGATGACACACTGGAGAGCTCGTGAGTCTCTGTGGCCTGTGATGAGAGAAAAAAGCTGACGGGTTTGCACAGCGTTCCCGGGGGGCAGTGCCGGTTACTCCCGCAGAATGGAAAAGGGGTTGAAGACGCGATATGGAAGGGGAAACTGACGGCTAGTGCTAAGTGCTAGAGCTGCTTATGTGATTACTAGGGTTTATGCAATTTAATCCTGAGCCCAGTAATCCACTTTCCTTCTGAAGGAATGGAACAGTGGTGTTCGTGACTTCCGATTGTCCTGGGATTTCCTTCCTTTAACATCCTAAATCCCATACTTTGCCTTCTTCCTAGAGACATTTTTATTTTCACCTGAAATAGCTTACCAGCCAGTTAATCCAGTGGGCGTCTAACTCATCCCCAAGGCACCCCGTGAATTTCCGTTCCCTTCTTGTACAGGTGCGATAACAGGGAAATTACTCTGCAGATTCTTTAGAAAGGCTCCCCTTAGCTCCTCGGAGCAGGATCTCAAGGACAGAACAGCCCGGTATGTCCTGGCTGGAGGCATTTCCGGTTCAAAGGGGGTGTTCTGTGCTGTGTGGTGCGTGAGGTTCTTTGGTGTGCAATTCTACTCGGCCACTATCCCGAAGATGTGCGTGGAGGAGGATTTCACGGACGGGGTGCTTATTTTCCGTAGGCCCTTGGACATGCGATTTGAGGCGTGCAAAGTCGTTCGCTCTCCCGGAGCCCAGGACACCTGGAAAACATGGCAGTGCAGGTGGTGGCTGTGGCAGCAGCCTGGGGAGGACCCCGGCTGCAGCGGTCACGTGCCTGCTGCTCTCCTGGCCCCCAATTCCTGACCCACCAGACCCGCCCGACACTATGAGCTGTTACAGGAGCCAGAGCTGAGGTCCACAAGGGTGGTCACCTTGCTCAGAGTTCCTCCGCTCCTGAGTGACAGAGCAGGACTTGAGTGTGGTGATTCTTGTCTCCTGAATCACACAGGAAGCTGCTAGAACAGCAGGGGCTGGGTGCGGCGGCAGGGGTGGGGGTGAGGGGCTCATCGAGGCCCTACAAGTTAGCCGTGCGGAAGTGCTGCGGAAACACCAGGTTGCAGAGCACACGGGCAGTCCCTGGGCCCTCACATGTGAGTTCCTGTTCTACATGGAAGGGTCCCCTTAATTCACAGAACGGCTGCATCTCATGTGGCCACTATTGCCGTGCTGATTACTTCTGGTTCCTTGGTTTTTAAAAAATCCCCAGCCCCGTTTGCAGCCATGAATGTGGGGACCTGGTCCCCGGGTCCCAGCCCCTCGGGTGCTCCCCTGCTCCGTGGCCTTGCTCCGTGGCCTTGCTCCGTGGCCGAGAAGGAATCGGAATAACTGAGCCTGTGACTGTGCACTCCCTGAACACCAGCGTGCAGCTGCGACCCCAGTGCAGGGTGGCCCAGGAATCTGGAGAAGCAAGTGGACAGGAACCAGGGTGAATTCAGGAAAAACCCAATCCATGGGATATTTTTAAAAATTATTTCATTACTTTCTTATTCTGTGCGTCCTCAGCTTATAAGATGCAAACAGGTACTCAAAAGTGATGAAAACCAAAAAGCTGTAGTATTTGTTACCTCTCGTCACGTGGCCGGAGGCTGTTAAATCCTTGTTAGGGGAAGACTCCACCTGAAGAGAAACCAGTCTGACCTGGAAGCATATTTCCTAGATTGAGCTCTCGTGGCGCTTTTAATAAAAATCACTTCAGCTAAAAGGAAATCACTGCTAATTTCAAATATCTATCTGATTACATAAATATTCCAAATAAGAACATTTTAAGTTTGGCAGTCACGGTGTTATAGAAACAGATTTTTACACTATGATATTTTTATTCCATAGGGCCATTTATTTAAAAAGGAATCCTTTTTTAAAGTTTGCCTTATGGAAAATTTCAGACATATGGAGAAGTAGAGAGAAGACATCAGGACACGCCCAGGGCCAGTCCTGTTTCACATCCTGTCCGTTTCCTCGCTCCAACACTGGTCTGCTTTGAAGTGTCCCACTGTGAAGTCACTTGATTAATAAATGTTTATAGGTATTTTATCATGGATATTGTTTACAGGGGAGGATACATATTTAAGGCATTGTAATTAGTACAGACCGGTCTGTCCATTTCAGCCTTCACAGACACGAAGCTGATGTTGGAGACAGAAGCCTGACTCTGTTTGTCATGCCACAAACAAAATCTTTTTAGGGGCAAGCATTCCGCCAAAACAGCACTGCCCAGCCAGGGCTCCTATTTGAGCTGCAATGCCAGTCCCTGGTGGCATGGATAACTGGTGCAGACAACCCCTTGTCCTCTTAAAAAGGAAAAAAAAAATGTGGATTTCTAATTACGACATCCAAACAGAGCTAAGTATGGAAGACCAAAGTTCAAAAAAGAATTACAATTGCATCTTGAGCCAGAGTTTTACGAGGTTTAGATGCCTCTTTTCCAAATCAGTGCAGTTCCCTGAAGGCGTAGAAACCCTGCAGTATTCCCGCATAGCCGGCAGAAGTCCGTGCGACAGGGCGCGGGCGGCGTGAGAAGTGGCCGTTCTCTGCTCCGGGTGTCTGATCCAGGAGTCTCTGCAGCGCCGTCATCATTTAATCTCTGTCACGTACAAATGAGCTTGCAGCATAAGAAATGAGGCTGCCTTATGCAAATCTCACATCCATAATGGGATGCGGAGCCGACACCCCCTCAGCTCCTTGTCTGCCTGCAGCCCTGGTGGTACTTATCCTGTCCAAGGCAGTTAATCTTTCTCACTCCCGGGGTGATTTCTCTTCCTGGAGGTTTATTTGTTAGGGGCCGGGGGCACAGTTTGTTGATGTCTGGTCCTCGTCCTCGCTGATATGCTGCCTTCCTCCTATAAAAGTCAAGCGTTCCTCTACAATCAGAAGGAACCATTTTTAAAGGTTTATTTATGTGAAAGGCCAAGTGAGAGAGAGAGAGAAGGCACCTGCAGCAGTGGGGGCTTGTCCAGGCCACAGCCAGGAGCCCGGAACTCCACTCGGGTCTCCCAGTTGTGTGGCAGGAACACAAATACTTGAGTCGTCATCCTCTGCTGCCTTCCCAGGCATGTTAGCAGGAAACCGGACCGGAAGTGGAGTAGCCAGGACCGGAACCGGCACCCCCATATGGGCTGAAAGCACCTTGAGCTGCAACTTAACCCTCTGTGCCATGATGCCGGCCCCTGGAATGGAACCCATTGGGTTCAGCACTAAATTCCCCCCATTTTCCAAATGAGTAAGAGTCTTGGGGAAACTCAGTCTGCGTTCTCCAA